AGGAAGCAAAGCTAGAGTCACATGTAACCTATAATGTTAAGGCTTTATGGAACATGCGTAGTGTTGTTTTATTGCTTACGAATATAAAATGGTGTTTGGGCACAAATCATTAGCCATTTTGGTCAACACGGAAATTACGTTAAAACCACCGTTCGAGTCTAGGAAACGATTTTAAGATTCACTTTTCAAAAACCAGCCACTGAAAAATCGAGGATCAGGGAACGTTTTTGTCGATGATGCCGATTAGAGTGACTTGGGCATACACGAACCGTTGCTGCTCATGTCACGTGCCTTTCCCCGACGTTTAACGTCTCCGCTGATAGCGGAGCTCTGGCAGCCCGAAGGGCCACCAAGCGGAGCCCCATACTCATAGAAACCCGTGAATCGCTTTTCTCATGGTAAAAATGGCTAGTGGTATTCCTCGTGGGCGCGTACGCACGACGACGACGTCGCACAACATGGCGGCCATACTCCAGCTAATAGGACATGGGCAGGACATGCGGCCTTGGTTTACAGCGTACATCTTTGATATTGGACATCCATTTTATGGTCAATTGATACCTGGCAAAACAAGGTATCCGCAGACCAGTATCACATGACCATAATGCGGACTCAAGTTTAAACTCAACGAGGTCACGTGTTTTTGAAGTTAACCGCTGACCAGGTACCGGCTTTTCGAACGGATCGCAGGCACAAGCCAGGTTAACTTATTGTAATCAAGGCCGGGCTGTTCGAAATGCTGACCCAGGATTAGAAGTTATCCAAAGTATAAATTTTTCTTGAACAAAAATGATTTTCATCTGCTTATGTTTTGCGTAGTTTGAGATCATTCAAACTCTGAAGGCCAAACAATATAAGTAGAAAACCTCACCGCCAAGTTACAAAAACTCTCAAATCAAAATTCTCACTTATCCTGAGTTAGCTTAATCAGGCCCTGAACAAGCCGGCCCAGGAGCTCCGCCTTTAGGCTTGGCTAGATCTGTCTATTAACTATATATCGTAAAGTAGTACATAATGAAAACAAAGGACATAATGAAAGCAAAATGAAACTTATGTTAAAATTGTTGAACGCTACGAGAATCTGGGATTTCTTTAACGATTTACTCCAAGTGCATTGGACGTTAAACGTGCTATTTTCTTTTTTGTGACAGATATTTGCCTGTGGAAAACAGAAAGTGGACAATGCTGTGCTTTTCCCTTCTCTTATGGTAACGACACCCACTCATCTTGCATCACGACACCAGACAGGCCAAAACCATGGTGCTCTTTAAACTGGGTTTACGACTTAGAATACGTGGAATGGGGCTACTGCAAAGGTGATAGGTTAAGTTTGCTATTCGTTCCTAACTGAGTTGCTGAGTCTAGTGAACACCAACAGATATACGTGCAACCTTAAGGCCTTATGGCTGACTATGCCACCGTTTTGTCCATCAGAGAGTTGTTTGATGGGAACTGCCGTAAAATGGTGTTCCTTTATTAACACTAACTTAGCCAGTTTGTTATTTTTCCTTCGCTATGTCTTAAAATACCATAACCGAGATACTATGCGTTTCGTGATCTGTTTCTCAGTCTGACCTCTAACATATGAGAGGCAGAGATAGCAAAGATTCGTCTCGTGGCCGCTTTTTTTCTTACTACATTCTTACCAATCTGTGTAGCTAAAACTGAACAGCCAACGGACAAATGGATTCTATTTTAGTATCAGATAATAGCTGATCGATCCTACCTGCAATTTAAATGATTCATTTCAAAGTCTTTTAAAAAAATATTTTTAACGTTGTTGCACATGTGTTTTTAAACCTATATTTAAATAATAGATTATTGTGGACTTGATCGAGAGCTGTGTAGGTGGGAAGTTGAAGATGGTGACACTACCTGGCAAATCGTCAGTCAGGAGCAAGCCAAGAACTTGAAAAAACAATTCACATCAGTGTCGACTGCCAAAGATGAGTCATATCAGGGTAAGTCCACTAAGCGAATTAATGAAAATGGAGCCCATTGGAATGGGATAATCCATTTTATCGGGAAAGAAAATCAAATACCAATGTGACACATGACAATAATTTGCTAAAAATCGGTATATCGTAAATTGCCAGTCTGGCGATTCACTTCGAAAGCAAAACATACGCCAACGAAAAGTACAAAAAGGAAGACGCGTCTGAAAAAAAGGAAAGAAATGTACACCTCAAATTTAGATTATCTCTTGATTTGTTAAAAAGGACAGCTCTTGGGCTCCACAGTGACAGAAATCTCTCCATACTTGTTATATTATTTCCCACGTATTCTTTATAATCATTAATATGCTTTACTCCATATGATTTACAGAAAAAAGTGATTTTCAAGTTATCCTGCCACAATCTATATTTGGAAACATCACAGTGCATGAAGTTGCCATAGAAAATGACCTGAAAGCCGTCACTGCTTGCGCTTGGGTTCAAACAAATGTATCCACGGTAGAGATAAAATACATGACGAAATCGGAGAGTTGTGGAGAGACCACTGCCCTTGGAATACGTTTTTTTAACAATAGTATCACAATTACCGTTCTTGGAAACGATTGGTGAGTATTTTACTCCAGTTACTTAGTTTAAATTGTTGTATACGTTGTATAAAGTAGTTCGTCGGCATTTGATATATTTCATGTCTTTATTTATTCAGGGTAGTTCCATCCTTTGTGGCTGATGAAGAATGGCATAATGTGTGTATGACCTGGCTTTCACTTGGCGGGTACCTGAAAGTTTTCGTTAATGGTCTGAAACGGATCAGCAGTTATGAGGCTGCTATTGATAGCCTTGTGATTCTAGGTATCAAAGATAAGTAAATTAACATTATTCCTCAATCAGAGTTGCTCATTTGATTAGATCGTTAACCAGCATTTCATCAAGTTTGTCCAAGAATTATTCACCACTCATGTTGATGCCAGGATAGATAACGTCTGGCAGAAGAATGCAGATCTAGGAGAGCTGTTATGTTAAAGCGCCCTCCCCTCTCTCACGACCGTGGGATACATTTTACTTTTAATATTAGAATGTCCATTAATTTTCCTTGATTAAGAAAAAAAACCTGCGTTTCTTCGTATTAATACTTTGATAAGGAGGTGGTGTAGAGGGTTCTGTCAGCCATTCAACGGAGCGTAATACTAACAGACGTAATCAGACAGAAACGATGGTTTTATATGCTGCTTTAGGATTTTCTACCAGGATATTATGCAAAGGATGACGTTACGATAAACATTTTATTCGCATGCTTACGACAAAATTGAGACCGTTAATGCTAGCTTTTAATTTATACGTATTCTTTAACTGAAAGAGTAGCTTTTCCTATGAAAAGAGACCTAGAAAGTCGACTCTTTTTATAATTGTTATCCACTTAAGGGGGTGGTCGCCTTATTATCAGCTGCCCGGATGTAAGCAATTCATCACAAGAAGCAGGTGTGGGTCGTGTCAGTGGTGTCAACATCTGGAAAAATGTGATTGAAGAAGACGAGATCTATAGGATGTCCTTGGGCTGCAAGAGGAGAGACGGAGATCTACAGTCGTGGGGAACCATGCTTGGTGGACTTCAAGGGAATGCTTATGTTTATTATGACACCTCATCCTGCCGAGATCGGACTGGTTTGTAATAACACAAGTCTTTTTATCGATCACATAACTCTTTTGTCGCTCGTGTGTGAGGCCTCTTATAGCCCGCTGCCACATCTAAGTAGTTCCAAACAATAGATTGGCATTATAAGTAATATATCAAACACGGGTGACAGTGTTTCATCGGGATATCCAAAAACCGAGAAGAGAGTTGAAAATACGACGCGCAGCGGAGTATTTTTGACGAAATTCGAGGTGTTTGGAAAGCCGATGAAACACTGTCACCCGTGTTTGATATGTTCTCGATCGAAACAAAAACTAAGGAGTAAACGGAGAAGTAAAATCGTCAAAATCTGTGCTAATTAAGACTGGGTATCTAAACCTCCTTCACTGTTGTGATTTTCTTTGTTTTAACTTGATGAATCATTAATGAGTTTGATAAGCTGCCGTCAAAGTTTGAATATAAGTCCACAAAGGTTCAACGTTTTTAAAAGAAGAGGAGATTTCAGTATACAAATATATACAATAGCTCTACTGGAGTAATTGCCCTTTTCAGTGCAGCTATGTATTGTAAATACATTCGATGTAATTTTGTGATCGTTATGTTTAAGTATTTTTACAGATGACGTGGCGAGCTAAATTGTGGTATAGAAGTCGATGCGTAAGCAATGTTGTATAACGGAGCCCAATTTGTGGCCAAACCCTGCCCATTTTCACAAGGGGGGAGTGCTATGGTCCAATAGCTATTCTCAATCTTGGAAAACGTTTCTTATCGTCATTAGCTGTTGTTACTCAGCGCTATCAAACAGGGTTTGATTGTGATAAGGTAAAAAGTTGTATGTGTATATTCAAGGGTCAAATTTCTGGATTTCACACTTTTTTCACAGGTAATCGTCTAGCTACCTTCTCCTTATCTAGCAAAGGTGGATCAAACCTTGCCCGTGTACGAAGCCCATGGTATAATCGATCAGCCGATGGTTACAGTAAATGCTTGAAGTTCCGTTACATGTTGCTTGGTGCAGGCAATAATTATCTACGACTCTACCAAATAGATGATATATTTTCAAGAGAAAGACCTATCTGGCAAGACGAGTCAAATGGCGATAACTCTTGGCGTTACGGACAAGTATCGGTATCTGGAGTGACGCAACATCAGGTGAAAAGAGCTCTTTGGATTTTACAATGGGTCTTGAGCAACATACGGTCACATGATCTTAAAGACCCACCATGCATGCCACATGGAAAGCTACTCTCTGAGATATCCAAACCATTAAGTAGTCAGGCTTTACTGGTTAGAATCGCTGCTTGATGGGACTGTCACATTCTTTTGCAATCCATGATGGCGGGTTTTGTTCCATGCGTGTGATCGTTTGTTGCAAATGGTTCATTTTCAAAAAGTCTCAAGAATTGGGCAATCGGTAATGAATACTTATTTTATTCATCCAACTCATTAGATTGCTCATGTTTATGCAAAGCGTCAGACTTCTCTTTAAGTGGATCACAGTTCTGGTCAGTATGAGAAACAACCCCAGCTCCATCGGGACTTTTTTAGCCTTAAAATTTTAGATTTTATTCATGATATTATATAATTTACTTTATTATTATTGTTTCAGCTGATATTTGAAGGAAACCTAGAACAACGAAAAGGATTTATTGCTATAGCAGCACCTTACTTCACCAATGGTTACTGCCCCGCAGAGCCCGAAAAAGCAGCCAAGAAAGGTAAAAATTCCAGTATTATGTTAAAAAGCGAGGATAAAACTAACCAGTAAGCTGTAAGTTCTATGTCTCTATCTCCACCCATTTACAAGAACAATTGTGAGAACTCTAACAATTACACCAGAGTCGGCAGAGAATATTCGCAGTCAGGCCATTGAAGGAACTCCTTTGGTACAGCTAACCTTAAAACACTTCTTGAAGGCATTGTTTTAAAACCGACTAAGCAAGTAATTTGACCGTACAAGTAGCTATCTCAACTTTGCAAATATTAGAACCGATACTTCTTGAATGAGTTTATTGTTGGATTGAACCGGATGTGTTCCTTTCTTTAAGGCTGCAGTGAGCACCTCACTGGTAAACGTGGTCTCATCATGTCGCCTTACTACCCCGGATATTATACAACTAACAGTTGGTGTGAATGGCGTATAACCGCTCCTTTTGGTCATGTGATCAGATTTCAATTCGTTTATTTTAACCTGGAACGAGGGGACACGCGATGCTTAAATGACTATATTGAGGTGTTTGATGGGAATTCCGCAGATTCTACCTCCCTTGGCAGATTTTGTGGTCATTATTACCCAGAGATGTTGGAATCTTCATCAAATAACATGCTAATCGTGTTTAAATCTGATAGCAAGGTAGTGCGCACGGGATTCAAAGCGGAGTATTACACAAGAAAAGGTACATCAGAGTTTTGTGCTACACGCTTCATTTATGTAAAATGTGAAGTGCTCCATAGCTTCGACTTGTAACAGGTCAAAATACGTGTGCCAAAATTGCAACATGGCACTGAAGCTTACAGGACAAAATTGCAAATGTACGGGGTTTTCTTTACCTCTTAACAACCACGAGAAACTTAGAAAATAGGTCAGAAATAAGAATGTACTTCGTTCTGTCAAAATTGAGGTCAGCGAAACTGGCCAAAAACCCCGAAAAAGGTTCAATTTTACATCAACAAGAAGGAGATCATACAATTGCGCAAACTGTGGAGTTACGTTAACAAAACCTAGCACTGCTTTAGTCGAATCGTAAACCCACTGCAAAGCTTATCAAAAGCCAATATGAATCAGACAAGTTTTTGCTAGATAACGAAACTAAGCAGGCCCCTGTTCAAAATAATAGGGGAATCATTCGAAGCCCTTTGTTGCCATACCGTGACAAGAAAGCATATGAATCATTATGTACTTTTTATGCAACTTACAACGTTTTAGTTTGTATTGTCAATGGTGAAGAAAGAGTTTCGTTCATAACTTTTCTTTTTGGCTTTCAGAAGAGGTAGATCAATGCAAGATGAAACCAGGTAATACTGAAATATATATATTATCAATTAAACATGTGCAGGGGGGTGATAAACCGACCATCCTAGGTATTCATACGGGAATGGTTCAATGGCCAGACCTGGTTGAATGCCTATACAGAAAGCAGCCTCGTGTGAACAAGAATCTTCTCTAGAATCGTTCTTCGACAGGAGCCTATGAAATATAGCCCAAGAATGGATTAAAAAAAAAAAAAAAAAAAAAACAGGGGAAAGGCACATGCAAAAATTAAAATGTTATATTTCCGCGTATATATTTTCCTTTGCGCAGATTGTCCAGTTGGTTCTAGATGTTACACTGTAAAAGGAATGCCACAGCGATATGTGTTGGAAGCGGCAGAGTCCATTGCGAGTATACCATGGAATATATCAAGTCTGACATCAGCGCTGTAAGTCTGGCTGTCTGATAAGTTTAATAGTTTTTTAGTCTATAAGTCTCAAAGATAAAACTTTCATTAATTTTTCAAGCTTGATTAACATTTGGTAATTTGAGATTGGGGTAATCCCACACTGTAGCTACGTGTTTGTAGTTGTAGTATTGACAGTCGAACTCTAATTTCACTACACCAGTTTTTGCGTCACGAGATGGTAAATCTGTAAGAGCAAATCTTTCGACTGTTACTATTTATTTTAAGTCGAGGTTGATGGCCAGTCGGTTTCACGTCAGGTTAAGTCTAAGTTTGAGCCTAAAAGGCCGTCTGTCAGGCGCTTATCTGCGGGTTCCGTAGTATGGTAGCCACTCCCACCTGACTTGACGAGAGCCTACCCCACGGTCACCCCACAGTATTTAATCATGTTACTCTTAGCCAAAATTTTCAATCGCAAAAACTCATAACGTCTCTGTACAGTTACATTATTATCATTATTATCGAGTGCCCCTATGGCATCGAGGTTTGTGTGCGTTTTCAGTGCATCATAATGCTAGTAGTGTGATTTGAT